AACATATAAGCTATGGCAATATAGCTTAATAGCATATATAACTGCTTTCTTTTCTTCACTTATGCCACAGGAAAAAGAGTTCAAAACATGCATATAAGTAAACAATAAAGAGCTGTGCTTTTAAGTGGAAAGCCAAAGAAGAAAAGCAGAAGGTGCTGCATGGGATCTGAGAAGTGCTTAACAAAGCTGATACCCAAACTTTTTGGTTGCCCAAAAGTTGATTTTCAATGCGGGACACGTCATCGTTGTAGGGATCAACAACTCAAAATTCAATAGGCACACGGATCCACTGGCTCCACGGGGCTACCAACCGTGGTTCTGATACCACTTGTTGATCACCGTGGCTCTGATACCACTTGTTGGGATCAACAACTCAAAACTCAGTTCTCCATCAAGAACAACATACAAGTCCAAATGAGATTCTATTTTAAAACTAATTGGCAATAGAATGAGTAGTCCACCAAGCTTATATATTGACTAATAAATTTTTAATTTTTCAATGTGGGATTGAGTTTGCACACGCAACAATCGCAAGATAGGTTGATTAGGCTGGATATCAGTACTACCAAACGGCCGACTAGGGAATTATAATTTATTTTTATTTTTATTTTATTTTTTTGATATCGACTAGTGAATTATTAGTAGATAATGGAAAAGGTTGTAAATAAATTTGTTGAACTAAGGGCGTGTTTGGATATGTATCATAATTGGTTTTAATCAGCTTTGACCGGATATGTATCATAATTGGTTTTAATCAGCTTTGACCGATCAACTCTTTTACTTTTTATTAAATATAAAAAAATAATATTAATCAATCATCCTCGCACACTGCATCAATTTTAATTCATTATTAATTCATTCACATAATTTTAATTATATATTACTTCCTCACGCATCACATCAACTTTACAACAACAACATAGCCTTTTAGTCCCAAACAAATTAGAGTAGACTAATCATATCATAGCATCACATCAACTTTAATTTACAATTAATCCACTCACATAATTTTAACTACATATAAGTTCTGATAAGATCTCTAATACTTTTAAATCATATCAACTTTTGTATTTGAAATATTGTTATATTACAGACTTAAATTATCAAATCAATTAATTTTATTTAAAATAACTCACTTTAACTAACTAAGTTAAATCATAACCGGTTGGATTCATATCTATTCACGCCATAAATGATCATTTGAGAAGTTTAGTGAGGTTAAATGATGATTTTGTTTTTCTTTTGTTTATTTTTTTTTATTTGTTTCCTTAGTATAAATTTTGATTTAGACAAATAAAATACATAAAAGAAATCAACAAACATAAACATGTCGAACAATTCGAACAGTTCACGAACAAGTTCGATTATATAAACGAACGAACGCGAACATATTAGTCGAACTCAAGCTTGAAAACCTTAAGCTCGGTTCAATTACATCCCTATCCCTGAATTTCCCCCTCCAATGGCCGGTAAATGTGCACCGATGTCACCCCTTTGATTCTGTGAAATTCATGAAAAACAGAGTTTGCAGTGCAGTGGAGATGAACAAAGCCAGGAAGCCATATTCCAACCGAGTTTACAGTAATAATCGGATTATGCCGGATTCGCATATTTACCCGTCCAAAATACACTAATTCTAACAAAACATTATAAAATCTGGATTAAGAATCTTTATGAAATAGATCAAAACCAGTGCAAAACAGAATCCAAACCCATAACCATCAACACAAACTAAACAAAAAAAGCAAACTTACATCTGCTTTAGACAAAACTCTTTTCAAGTCTCCACCCACTTAACGGCTCACAGCCTTGGGCCTGAGCTCAATCCCCTGAACAATTAATCTGCTTTTCCCATAATAGTCATTATACTCTATGAGCCCCAACTCCAAATCATCATCTTCTCTTCCCTCGACAAAATACTCTCCCAACTCGACCTCTATCCACCCATCACTCCTCGGTTTAGGGTACTTGGCATTGGACTCAGCCACCGAATCCTCCACCGTCTGTTTTTGTCTCACCAAACGAGGCAGTCGACGGTAAAAAGACCTGTGGCCTCTTTCCCGACCTAGAAACACTCTTTGCCTCTCACTCTCATGGCCATTCAACTCCACAAAAGCCTCGGCTGGGAGGTCGAATTTGTCGACCCCTGATTTGCGAGCAAACACTAGGTATGCCACATAACACGTGCCAGAGGACAGCATCTTGGTGCTGATGCTTCCACGTACATGAAACCAGCACGCGTTGAGAAGCTCTGCCACCTCAGGAAACCTGAAGCAAACAGAATGAGTTAGCTTAGCACAGCCATTTGAAGAAACCCGAATCATAACACGTTTCAAACGAAAACTTTCAGTACGAAAATGGGGTATTTATTTAGAATTGGGAGTGTTTTTGCTTTTTATCGTTTGCGGCAAGACCCTGACAGAGTAACATAAAGCTGCCATGACTCGTTTGTAGATTACCTAGATTCAGGAAGAGATATCCATCGCCAATATTGAGGAATATCGCTCCATGCAATATAGAGATCTCTTGCAGCTATCATGAAGCATTTCTTACCAATACATTTCCCCAATGAAAAGCTCTGTCAAGAAATAAACAAGGCAAAATAAGATGATTAGACACAGATTGATTTTCCAAGCAAAGAATTCAGAACCCTGTACATTAGGAATGACATGAGGCTACAGATAATCTTCAATAGAGACCTGTCGAGCTGCACACTTTCCATGCCCAAGAACCATCGTCAAAGGAAAGAAATGAAAGCAATGGTGCCAATGATTTTTAGACTCAACAGAAACCAATATAAAAATTAGAACTCATGAGCTCCCAAAGTCATAAGGTAAATTGTATATATGATGTACTAGTGATCTAAAAGGTACAACTTATCAAGAGATATCCAATGAAAAGCTCTGTCAAGAAATAAACAACGCAAAGTAAGATGACTAGACAGATTGGTCATAACATATATACCTTTGTCGAGCAAATAGTTCCGAACCCTGTACATTAGGAATGACATGATGCTACAGATAACCTCCAATCACATGCAATTTGATGCAATCGACAACCTCGGCCACAATTGTTCTTCCGTTCGAAAGTTGAAACACCAAGTTTTTCTCTGAAATACTCTATATGCAGTCCAAACAAACAAAAACCGAATATGGTTCAATCTTCATGAGCATGTAAACTGATAATTGAATCTACGAAGTTCACAACCAAATGTGCAACAATCGTCTCAATTGAAACCTAACAAAAAACCATCAGATTTGGAATAAACATATACGTTCGTAGTATCAGGCACAAATTCAAACTAAATCGCACATGTAGCAATTTCGACGGCACAAATCTGAACCCACCAAACAATCACGGGAACAATCAAACCAGTTCACATTCCCAATTTATATCGATATGCGACAGACAAATAATTGAAGATCATAAAAGCAATAAACAGACCTTACGCCCACCGTCGATGATAATCGGATGATCATACAGGTGGAGATAGTGTAGATTTGTAGCTAAAAACAGATGAAAATGAAAAGCAATCGAAGAACGAAGCAGAAAAGTTTGAATCTCCATTAATGACTGAGCTTCATGCTCACACCCTCATTACAATTCTCTCAGCTCAATTGTATCAAGGGTACATGACAAGTTCATGATCCCAGATAACCAAGTAACACGTGCCACAGCTTACATGTGTGCTAAGGGAAATTGAAGAAGAAGATGATGAGCCGACAAGTTCATGATCCCAGATAACCATTAAAATTGAAGAAGAAGATGATGAGCCGACTAATTTTAGTACTGCTATTATAACAAGTGGAACCGACGACGTTTCCTACTATGAGTAGAATGTTGCACGCATCACGGCATCATCTTTCATGAAGGTAAATAAGTGAACTGTGATTCGAAGCTAAGTGATATGTGAGGAACTTAGATGACATTGACAAGTTAAAAGGGAGATGACGACCAAACTTGGCACAATTTCAAAATTTAAGAGATTAAAAATTACCCAAAGAATATTTCACAACTAAAAAAAAAACGTAATGCAGTCGGTACATGAAGGGAGACACATACTAACACTGGGGTTATGTCACGAATCGCTTAGTGTTGTTAAATTAAACGAATTTGGCTTGGTCGAGCTCGAGCTCAATTAAAGCTCGTTTGGTTAATGAGTCGAGCTTGGTTCGGCTCAATAAGACTCATTAAAGCTCGAAAAGATAATTTATATATAATTTTCTATAATTCGACTCATCAAAACTCGAGTTCGAGCTCAATTTCTGGCTCGTTTATTTAACGAGCCGACCTCGGCTCGACTCGTTTCTAGGCCTAGAACCACTGAATTTGAGAGATGATAGCCACCATACAAAAGAAGTCCGCAAATGATTTTCACTAAGATTTTTTAGTGCGATTGTCGTTTTGGAGAGTTAGGTCGTGCTTGTTAATAAAATAACCAGAAAAAAACTGCTATTTTTTTATGTTTTTTGGGCTAACTAGAGTTTATTTGACAAAAGTTAGTATGATTAGTTGTTAGTGAGATTTTTAAGAATGTATTAAAATAATATTTAAAATAAAATGATTAAAATTGTTTGATGTAAAAGTATGAGATAAATGATTGAAAATTAGTGAATAAATGAATATTGTATTAAAATGATGTGATGTGTAAGTATGATTAAATGATATTATCTAATTATATTGATAATATTGCGGATAATACATTTTAGTTAGATTTAGAATTGAGATATAATTTTTCCCTAGTTTTTTCTAACTTTTTTTTTTATACGAACAGGACCTTAGAACATGTTTGTTTATGAAAAATTTCACAAAAATTTCAACATCTTAACTCAACCACTTATTTTAATTCAATTTAATTCAACCACACTTTTATCAATATAATTAAATAATATCAATCAATCATTCATACACACCACATCAACCTTAATTCACTATTCATCCACTCACATTATTTTAACTAATTATCACATCAAATCATCTCTCTCATACTTTTACATTAAATCAATGTTAATTATTTTATTTTAAATATTATTTTAATATACCTACTAAAATTAATCATACCACATTTTTCAAAACTAAAACGAAAAATACTCTAAGGCTTTGAGAAATTCAAAAATTCTAAATAGCAATCGTATTGTTTTCTTATGGAGCCATTCATTGCTTAATATATTGACACATGTCCAAATTGTATTTATTGTGACACATGTCAATACACTATTGTTGAATAAGTGTGGATTGCTCCATAAGCCGAACCATCCGATTGCTCCATAGCAAAACTGTGAGAAATTTGGGAATTCTGAAAGTGTCTTGCTTTTGGAGATTCCACTTAAAGTCTAAATTGTCTGTAATCAGTAATTCACTCAATATAAATTATTAATTTT